CCATGACTTCCTGGACCGAGAAAATTGATCTGCCCTGTCCTGACCAACTGGAGGCTCCTGTGCATGGAGCGGGCATTCAGCAAATAGTTGTGGAGTGAGTGAATGGGCTCAACAGGGACCCAATACCCTACTAAGCCATGGAAAGCCTGTTGCCAAGTTCAGCCAAGGGCAGCCAAGCACACGAGGTAGAAGCAGCCGGAGTGTTACTCGGGGTAGGGCTGGCCTGGCTGCGCTGGGTAAGCCTGTAGGTCCCAGCAGTTCTTTCCATCTCATCTGGGACTTTTTTCTATCCCTTCCCTCCTCCTTCTCCTCCCCAGTCCCTCTTGATTGACAGCAATTGCTGGCTCCGACATGATTTAAAAATAGATATTAAGACCAGGAAGTTTAATTTTTAATGCTCTGGAAATGAACACAGAGTTGGCATTGTCTCACGACCACGTTCCAAGAGTCTCTTGGGGTTTCTGCCAGACCCTTCTTCGTCTTGCTTCTTGACCCCAGCAGACAGACATGGCCCCACCCCACCTCTGAAAGATCCGCTTGTAGCAGCTTCCCAGGGAATCACCCCTCACTCTCAAGCACTATGGGAAATCCCTAAATGTCCCTCCCTGTGCTACCTGCCACCTGCATCACCTGCACAGAGAGAGCAGGTGAGGCCAAGTCCCAACCTGAACTTCTTTCTAAGTTCCCTCACACCAGAGGGTACCCCACAGATTCTCTCTAGCACTATAGGTTTCCTTACATTCTCTGTGCACAGAACTTGGTCTCAAGCCCACAGAGGCCATGCTGCTTTGGAATGTATGCAGCTAAGGCAATAGAGAGGGCTGCCTGGACAACAGCACCCGAAGACAGCAAACAAGAGGGGCCTGACCATCAGGGTGATTAATCGGGAGCCCTGCCTGGCACTCTGCCTGTGGCAGCTCCGCGTCTACCTTTCCCTTGCTCTAGCGGGCACACTCCACACTGTCTCCTCTGTTACTAATTAGCCTTTATAAAAGTAGCAATCCACAAGGAATAGGCTTCCAAAGGGACCAGGGTGTCACTGCTCTGCCAGCCATGATTTAAAGTGATAGGACACCTCTGCTGGCAAGCATGAAAAGTGTCTTATCCTGAGTGGCAGTTAGGGTACCCATCTGGCCCAGTCCCCTCCATCTCAGACAGCAATGGGATTCAGGTTAGGGGGAACTAGGCTGGGATCTGGATTTGCTGGCCACAGCATGTAGAGATCCCTTTTGCCCACTCTGGTCTCTCTCTGTCTCTCTCTCATCTCTCTCATCTCTTTCTCTGTCTCTGTCTCTGTCTCTGTCTCTGTCTCTCTCTGTCTCTCTCTCTGTCTCTCTCTGTCTCTCTCTGTCTCTCTGTCTCTCTCTCTCTCTCACACACACACACACCCACACACCCACACACCCACACACCCACACACACACACCCAGCCCCACCCACGCACACGCACACACACACACACACACACACACACACACACACACACACCCCTGACAGGACCCAGAGGTGTATGGGTGAAAGAAACTTTTGTAGACTACAGCCCTCCCATTCCTGTCCATCAGGAAGGCGTAATTCTCTGTGGCCCTCAGAATCATGATGGGGGTGTGTATGGAAAGGACCAAGAGGAGGGGGTGGCTACATATTCCCCTCCTTTATTCTCTCCATCTATGTCAGTTCCCCAGACAAGCAGCCCTCTTGGGTGCCCCAGGCTCCCATGGTGCACTGGGCCGCCTACCAGGCTAGAACTGTCTGGCTGAAGCCAGCATGCCAGGAACAGACCTGGACCCCCACCAGCAGGCAGGCACCCAGCAGCCCGGGAGGCACCTGCCCTTTTCTTAGCAAGAAAGACTAAGCATGAACAGCACAGCCCCGCCTCCATCCTACCCCTAGCAATACCACAGGATCCTCACCAATACCACTGCCCTCGAAGCTCCACCCGGTGCTGAGGAAGCAGTCAAGGGGAGCTGCAGTGTGAGTCCATCAGGACCACACTGAACCAGGGCTCCTCCCAAGGCTCCATCATGTAGGGGTGTGGCACTGTGGCTGGGAGACTTCCAAATAGGCTCCGGATCCAAGAGAAAACCTCTATTGACTGTAGACCCCAAGTTCAACTCTAGTTCTCAGAAGAAGAGGAGGGGGGGGAGCCTCTCTGAAGCTTTTGAGCCACTAAAACAAGTGATGGCTAAGTAACTCTACTTCCTGGTTTCAGTGGGCTGAGTGTGAGCCTTCCTCACTCCACTGTCTCCATTTCCTCCTGTGCCCCCCACTCGGTATGCATGAGAGCAGCAGCAGAGGCCCCCAGGAAACCTTGCCATATCCACCCTACCATGCTGTCTCCTCTCAATTAGCACTTTCTCCTGCTGCACCCCTACAGTAAGCTGAGGAGTACATGCCCGGAGGAAGTCCTCACCCGAGTACAGCATGGTGACCCACCATCACCAGACCACCAACCCCCATTCCCAGAAACCACTGGCAAACACATAAGCAACTGCCCATTCCCCCACCTTTCCTAAAATCTACATTCTATTTCAGCATCTCATATGGCAGTGGCATTAAAAAACAAATGTGTCTTTGAAACTCAGCTCACTGTTGCTTGTGGTTTGTCATAGGAATTCTGAAAATACTTAGCAATTAGAAAGTCAGGGAGTGGGACAGTGCAACTCCTCCGCCAGGGAAGAGTTCTAATCGGGACCAGGCAGTAAGATCTCTTCTAACTTCTAACTACACTAGGAAGGGCAGGTGCACCCGCAGACTAGCTTAGACAGGAACTGCTGCCACACTTGTAGAAAAGACAGAATCACTCCTCACAGCTTAAGTTATATCTAACTTCTCCTCCCCATTACTTAGGACTTGGGGATCCCAACCACGTAACACCACACTGCGATCCACTCCTGAGAGTCACTCCATTTGGTTACCTACAAAAGTATTATAGGGGGCTGGAGAGACGGCTCAGAGGTTAAGAGCACTGGATGCTCTTCCAGAGGTCCTGAGTTCAATTCCCAGCAACCACAATTCCCAGCATCTGTTATGAGATTATGGTGTGCCTTCTTCTGGTGTGCAGATATACATGGAAATAGAATGTTGTATACATAATAAATAAAATCTTTTTTAAAAAAAAGTATTATAGGTCCCTGCTATGTTCATGACACAGATCCTAGCCTGCAAAGAGCCCCTACACTCCTAAACCAAGCTAGACTCATTCTGAAGGCATCACAAGCAGTTATACCAACTGCAGCCAGCAGGCGGCGAGGTGAAGATGGCCAGGAGTGGGGGCGGGGGCTGTAGAGTGGGAGTCACTCACTGGTCAAAAGGCACTAAGCATCCACGCCCACAGAGTCTTCGTATAATTAATACATGTGCAGTGGGGCAAACTAAAAAGGTAGGCTGAAGCCATGAGACAGGAAAGAGAAGGTTGCAGTAAACAACGAAAATGACAGCATTCGTGCAGGCCAGGACACCAAGGAAACAAAAGTACTGGGCTGACACAGATCCTGGCAAAGGAACAGAAAGAGCAGAAGGCACTGGCCCACAAAACAGTGACAGAGTCATTCTTAACATTCCGATGGTTCTCATCACCAGAAAGAGAATGGACATATCTGCCCCAGCTTTCCTAAAACTCCAACCACATGACAGGTGACACTAATCACAAGGTCTGCGACTCTCCCCCAAGACTATAGAACCACCCCCACACACAAGACTATGGAAAGATCTAGCGGAACCCACCTCGTCTCAGACCAGGCTCTCAGGAGAAGAGACAGATACACTCGGTGACCACCTAGGTGAGACCCCCAGGGTATCACATAGCTAAGGCAGTAAGGACCGTGAAGGAGACCATCCTAACAGCCTGGCCTGGAGAAGAAGTCCCAACTGTAAGGGGCACAGTGAGTCACTCAAGGTCACACAAGAATCTAACGAAGAATGGAAACCCGACAAGACTCAACGATTCTTCCTTCACGGTCTGGAAATTCCCCTTCCCCAGAAAAGCTGCCCCATACACACACGCACAGGCACAAAAGTTTTCTTAAAGTAGGTCACTCCACAGGAGCTGCTACCCAACCTCACTGGGGATAGCTTTCTCCTGCACCCAGGCTGCTCCTAGACCATGCATGGCAGCTGACAGCCTCCAGCCAGTGGCCAGGACAGAGCCTGGGGATGAGCCAAACATCTGTGCTGAGCGGCCTGAGCTCTGGTGAAGAAAGGCAGAGGCGGCAGTGAGAATGAAAGAATCGATATGAATTAGAGAAGTTTCCATCCAGTTTGCGTAGCTAGGACTTCTTGTGCATGCAGAGTCGCAGAGAGTATTTCATCAGATACCTATCCATAAGACACTTTCTCTAGAAGAAAAAAATCATCTCTCATCAAGGGCAGACAGGGGCACCAACCACTGCCTGGGCATCTTCCTTTGTCCCTTCTTGTCCCGGGGGTCTCCTGGAGCCTGGGAAAGAATGGCCAGACTGCTGGCTGCCCAGTTCACGGCAATCCCTCAAAAGCAACAGCCAGTGCCCCTATTCCGTATCATTGCCTCCTCCTTTTCCTGGGAGCCACCGAAATGAGCTGGAGGCTGTGACCTCCTCCCTCCATCCCACTCCCACAATGCTGCAGACTGCTCTCCTGCATTTAGGACCAACAGAAGAAACTCAGAAACCATCCTCACGGTGTCTCCCACCAACACAGCGGCAAGGCTGACCCACTCCCAGTGATGCAGGCACTTCAGCGTGGCTTTTCTTAGGTGGGGAAGGGGACAGCGGCAAACTTTGCTGGCCTCCTAGGAGCAGACCATGTCTCTCCTGGAAGACCGACAAGTTGGAGCCTCCATTAAGCCGTGGATGAGAGGGGGAGAAAGGAAGAGAAAAAGGCAAAAGGAGGCATGCGATTTTTTTTTAAGCACTTACCTTCGAGTAGAGAAGGGAAGGATGCAGCAAGGAGGAGGAGGAAGAGGGTATTCGCAGTGTGGAAAGCAAGGGGAGGGAGCAGCTGCAGACTCACCCTCAAGGACTTACCCAGAATATCAAATTGAACAGGAACATCATGTACTTCAAGCAGCACAGGCAGCCCCTGGCCATGTTGCACTTCTTAAATTCTAGGAGGAACACAAAGGACAGGTCCAGGTAAAACACCACGTACTTGCTGCCTTTGGGTGCATTGTACTTGTCAGTCTTAACGCCGGCCTCTGTGTGGCTCTGACCCCGAGAACCCGCGGTGCCGTAGAAGGCGCCAGCCGTGAAGCCGCGGCCGAACGGGCGGCCAGAGGTGGACGGTTTGGCAAAGTCCGAGTCCTTGCTGTCCAAAGATGGACTCCGGTGGATCGAAGAATCCTCACTACTCGACTTCTCCATGCTCATGTCGTTCCCGGGGGGCACGAGGGGCGGGGGGCATTGCTCCCAGAGTGGGACAGAGGGGGCACCCCGATCGGGCACGGGTTCTGAGCGGGCGGACTGTTGGAGCTTTGCACGCCCCCTCTCTGCACCCGAGAGCACTCGCGGAGCAACCCGCTGCCGGAGACCGCTGCCTCTGGGACAGCACCCGGCTCCCAGCTGCCAGCCTTAGCTCGCTGGCCCGGGAGGGCTCTGCGGCACCGCTCTAAGCACGCTTCGGGGAGTCGCCGGTCCGCCTGCGTTAACTAAGCTTCTTTGGGGAGGCTGCAATTTGACTGCTCTTTCCCAGGCGGCTGCACCGTCAACCGGTCACAGCACTCGAGGCCGAAGGGCGCCGGGATCCAGGCTCCGCAGGCACGCCTCTTCCAGCCCAGACCCAGCCCGGAGCCCCAGCACTTTGCGGGCTCTCGGCCTCCCTTGCTCTGCGACTTTGCGGAGCCGCTGCCGGCCCTGGGCTGCCTGGGCGCACCACGGGCAGAGCCTCGGGATCCGCCGCAGCTGCAACGGCTGGGCTTGCCCGGCGAAATCCCAGCCCTGACTCTCCACACTGAAATCGCCTGGAGCCCCTTCCCCGGGCTCTGGGCCCCGCCCCCTGCTTTGCATCCGACCAATGGGCTCAAGGCCTGTCTGGCTCCGGTGGGGGAGCTACCCCCCTCCCCAATGACACAATATCTTTAATAGGATTAGCGGTCTGCTGTGTGCCTAAACCAGTGTGCCCTGAGCCCTTCTAAATGTCAAGGGCTCAGAGGCTGGGAATGAAGCAGCACCTCCACGGGAAAGCACTGGTTTCTTTTGCCCCAGCAAGGGCAGCGAGAAGAGGGGGACAGCTGGAGCTATCAAGGAGCCAGAAAAACCAGAGGATAGGTCTGGGGAGAAAGGCTGGAAGGGAAAGAAACGTGGTCACTATCAGGCTGGCCGCAGCCCCCTATGAACATCCGGCCTGTCCAGCCTGGGGCACATGGTCGGTCTCAAGCAGTACCTTTACACACTCACCATAACACACACACACACACACACACACACACACACACACACACACACACACACACACACACACACGCTTTTGCACAGCACACCGGTAAAGGGACCGCCGCACAGACTCAAGGTGTAGGGAAGCGGCCCCCAGGCCTCCGCGGGGCGCGCCACCCTCCCCGCCCCCTCCACGCGCGCACACGCAAGCGCGGCTCCGAGAGACTCCTGCAGCTGCACGAGCCCCCGCCTATGCGTTCCTTAGTGGGACGCCATGGCTGCAAGGGGCAGGTGGCACACTGCTTGTACCAGCAGTAGAGCAAGGTAGCAGTGCTCTTGGTCACAGCTAGGTCCTCTTGGAGCCCAGAGGTCCCAGAAAAGACAGGAAGAAGGTGCCTGCCAAGGGAGCATCCGACCAGCCTTTGATCCTCTTGTAAAGCACTGCAATAAGGACAGCCTCCCTTGGGCTTGTGCAGAAGTCTGCATTGCTGACCAGGGGCCACCATGGTTTGCAAATGATGAGAAATAGAAGACTGGGATGGGGGGGGGGAGACAAAGACTGAGTCTCTCCTTTGTGTCGCTGACTCCCTAGTTGGAAGCTAAGTTTTACCCGGCTTTGTAACCCCAGAGTTCAGCTTTTGGAAGGCACTCCTCCATAGGGATGCTAGATAGATGAATCCATGCCCTTCCAAGAGGCAGAGGTGTCTATCCTGGAACCCTCAACCCTCTATCTTGAGCCCCAAGGGGGAGCCCTTGAGAAAACAGAAGAGTGCTACTGCCTGCCCTCAGGGCAGCACAAAATCTAGTTAGGACAGGGAGTGTTCATTACCAAGGAGGCACAGATGGACACAACTGGCCATGCTGTGCATCGAGGGGGACAGTAATTCCACCTAGGGGGACTTCATCTTCACTTGCGACCCCACCCCCACCCCCGAGGTGATAATTCTGATATCTGGAATGTGGTTCCTTTACAGAAACTGCACGGGTTTTCACCCTTCTGGGCACCTTCTGAAATCAAGGGGAACCCAGCAGCAAAGCTCTGTGTGAACAGCCACCAACAGCAAACATCTCCCCTGTTAGGCACAATGGTCCTGGGATGTCGTCTGCAGAAAAGGGAACAGATGTCTGTCTGGCTCCTGTGTGAGCACCAAGTACCCTGAGCAGAACGGCTAAGGCCTTGGGTCCTCTGCAGCCTCACTCGACTGCTCAAGGGAGCATGCAGCGTTACCTCTTCTTTCTAAAGCATTACTTCTGATGGGGGCATCCACCAGCTGGACTAGAGTCAGAAGACCTGCTCTTCCCTGGCAGCTTGCGCCAGCCTGGCTACCATTCCTCCTGTCGGTGTGGAGTTCAGGAACACCCAGATGTGTTATGTGTGATGTGAACCAACGGGTGAGGCCAGCCGGAGTGGGTGGGCTCTGAATGAAAGGTTCAGGTATTATGCTGGCCTGCCCCTGTTACCTGGTTGAACAGGCAATACCCTGGTCAGCCCAAGGTTCCACGGGAACTAAGTCTGCACGCAGGTGCAGAGGACCCCTTTAAAAGATAGGCACCTGCCCATTTACACTCTCTGTGCGCTCTGTTCCCCTCTCTCTGTCCCGCTCTCTGTCCCCTCTCTCTGTTTCCCCGCTCTGTCTCTCTATGGCGACCGGCCATGGCGGTCAGCCCTTTACCCTGTTCCTCTTCCTAGTCTCCCCATTCTGCAGGGCCTTATAATAAACTTATAGTCTTATGTCTCATGTCTCAGCATTTCTTCTTTTTAAACAAAAGAATAACACTGAACACAAGAGGTACTGTTATATCTCAGGGGAGGGGGGTAAGGTGTTGCCAAGGATACCCCAATGCTGGCCCTGCCTTGTTATCTTCTCCTCATCCCTTCTCCCCAGCTCATACCTGCACCAGTCATACCAGTCTCCACTGGTCCCTGGGCTGTTCCATCATTGTGTGATTAGAAATGAAATGAATGTACACCTCTTGGGCTTGGGCGCAGAAAGCCAGGTGACAGCAGGCAGACAAGAGAAGGAGGCTGTCCAGTGCCACAGCCCTGCTCCCCCCTGGTCACACTTGTCGAAGCTACAATGAAGTCTCACTATGACACTCAGCTGAGTCACTATCAGACTAAGAAGAGCAAATGCAGTTCGCCAGCCCTTCCATTCCCCAGGCTGACCCTACCACATAAGTGTGGTGACCGTTCCATTTTACAGAAAAGGAAATGGTGGGCTTCGGTATGCTTTCCAAGCCTGTGTGTCATCCTCTCTTGGACTTTAAACACTTGCTGCCCTTGGCAGTCTTCCAGTCTAACAGAATCTTAGAGCATAACAGGGAGCCTGAGATGGCATGCTCTGATGGGCAGGGGGGTCATTAGGTAAAAGGATACTGCATTAGAGGGGACAGGGAAGAAGATGGCTGAGGTGATGCTCTGGACAGGAGCGGACAGGTACTCAGCAAAGGCCTGAGGGCTGTCACAGAGAATGGGGAGAGTGCAAAAGAATACGGGGAGGAAGACAAGGATGCACCCTATCCTAGGACAAAGGCAGACGGAGCCAGAAGACAACGTCTCCTGCCCTCTGCCCCCTTGAGGAAACCATCCGACAGAGACAGATGGGTCACTATGGGCAGATCCTTGAGCATAGATCCCAGGATGAATGGGACAACCCAGGAGTCCCTGGGCCTCGCCATCCGGCTGTGGAAGCCAGCCTTCCACCCACACGGCAGGGTAGCCAAGTGGGGAGCTACCCTGTGGCTCTGCTTTGATCCAGGCCTCTTGGAAGTGGGTGGGGAAAGAAGGGCTTGAGTGTGGCCCACTCAGGAAGCAGGGAGGGGACAGGCCAGGGTGTGAACAGGAGCTACTCTGCAAGGCATGTGAAAGTTGGAGCTATATTCTGCAGCTTCCCAGGCAGCCAGGCCCACGGCCACCATGGAGCCTAGGAAGCTGAGCCTGGCAGGGGGGGGAGGGGGGGAGGCTAGCAGATGAGGGTGCTGCAGTCCCTTTGATTTGGGATGCAGAAGGAGCAACCAGGTGATGTGAGACGCTATCTCCCAGGCCCCTCACAATTCTCCAAACCCTATCGGGTCCAGGAGAGCCTGAAGGCATGGCTGCCTTTGAGGGGCTCTCTGCATGCAAACAATGCAGACCTGCTCTACTTCTCCCCCACAACCATTTTTTATGGAAAAAAAGAAAAGAGTAAAAGAGAAAGAGCAAGTACAGAATTCTCAAAGAACAGCAAGAAAAGCAAATGTGAGAATCCGGCATTCCATTTCTCTTCTGACTGGCAGCCAGGAGACAAGGAAGGGCTTCCCAGTAAATGCCAAGTGCTTTGTGCCTCTCCAGAATTCCCCAGGCTTTAGGTGAGGCGGGGCTCCATCGCTGGTGTCTTCCTCACCAGTCCAGACACCTCTGGTCCAAACTGGTTACACTTACATGTGACTTGATCATAGAACTCCTATGAACACCCCTAATCCTTAACCATGAGCCCCACTTGCAGTGAATAGGAATGAGCAGGCTGGACAACACCCCAGGTTCTAAACTCCAAATTTGGGATCTCCTTTGGCTGTAAAGGGAATGCTTTAATTGCTGAACAAACTCCTCGGGAATGAGTGAGTGGTCCCTAGCAGGAGGCCCACCTCCCAGATGTCTGCATGAACAGTCACTAGGCAGGAAACAGTGACAGAGGCCACTCTCCTACTTGCTAAGGAAATGAAACAGGTTGAAATATGGATTCAGAATGGAGGAAAACAGTGACTGTGAGGAGGCTGGAAAATGGGGAGCTAAATGAAGCTGGGCACACACTGCTCCAATTATCCCAGCTCTTGGAAGGCCAGGTCAGGACTGCAAGTTACAGGCTAGCCTGGGCTACATAGCATGAGGGGGAGGGAGAGTGGATGGAGATGATAGATAGATAGATAGATAGATAGATAGATAGATAGATAGATAGATAGCAGATAGGAGTTTAAAGATACTTTTTATCAGCATTTTTGTGTGTGAGGTTCCTAAGACTAATGAAGAA